TTTTTTGAATATGATATTGAAAGAATTTTTAGACTCAATAAAACTATAAGGAATTGAAATTAAAACAAAGAAAAAGAACTCGATTGGAGCCAATGCTTTGATACTAACTAATGTGAACTCGTCTAGCTCGACAGCTAGAGAAGCCATAGATAAGAAGATATGAACCTCGGAAAGCCAAATCAAATTTAGAAGAGTTTGGACGCCACACTTTAGATAGATAGAAAGAGAGTGATAAGTCGCTATGAACGCCATAAGAATTGTTAGATTCTTGATAAGTTTAAAGGATAGTTCTTGAAAGAACTAAGGAGAGAATTTGTTATAGAATTTTTTTTGATTGAATAATTGATTGATATTTTGAATACATAATAAGCCTATTTATAAGCTAAAATGAAAATCTAGAAAGCTTAATAGACTAGAATGCCTAGAATTCTACAAAATTAAATATGACCTAGAATCCAACAAAAAGAATTAAAGAAACTTTAAAATTTGTCTTATTGAATTCAGCATCTTTACTTGGAATTTAGTTGCTCCTTAATGAAGTTTTAATGGTAGAACAAGACACAACAACAACAACCTATTTGATAGCCCTCCTTAGCTCATGGTCGGTTCCAAGCCTATGATTAGCTTCTAGAATCATATCACCTCTAATACAAGTAAATAATCTAATAATACCTATGGTTTTAAAGCAATTAATAACTTAATTTTCTATTTCTTTCCATTAATGTAGTGTTGAACCATAACCAATTTAGTTATTTTCTTAAGAAAATGCTTTTTTGGCTATATATAAAGATGAATTAAACACTAGATAAAACTATAACTCGAAACTTGATTAAATCTCCAAATTTGCTTAGAGATTAATTGCATCCTATACTTCATTCCCTGACTAATTACATTTTAACTAGTAATTCAAGGGGACGTGATCAGGGGGCTGTGATCTTTTACCTTGGTTTTTTTTTTTAAAAAAAACGTTTTCACTAACAATAATAAATCCCATGAATTTAGATGGAACCAACAATGTCATAAATGAGGCGAAAATAATTGGTAATGAATTTCTATATTTTGATAAAAGCTTTTATCTAAGTATCTTATGTAATTTATTTTATTTTTCATCCTAAGCTCTTAATTATGTAATTATTAGTTAATATTTATAATTGGCATTGATGAGAAATTTTTTTAAAAAATAATTGTCCATGCATTTTCTTATTTTAATAAAATCTAATTCTCTTTGAAATTATGATAATATAAAAATATGGTGAAAGTTATTGTTAGTTAAGGTAACACCACTAGGGATACAAAAAATGATTGATGTCGATTATGTAACATTTTTTTAAAATAGAAATTACAAATTTTGTAGAAGCAACGAAATGACATAAATGATTGAAAAGAAATGAGTTACATTTGGTCTTTGTACTATCCAAATTTTTTTAGTTGAGATCTGCTATTCTTTTTTGACTTGATTAAAACACTCTACTCTTATAAATTTATTGATTCGGACCATCTATTATAACTCCGTCAATTATTAATCCGACGTGAGATGTTAAAATTAATGACAACTAATCATAGATAGAAACATGATATAATAGTAGTGTCTTCATCAAAAAAATTTTTAAAAAAGTTTTAATTTAAAATAATACAATAAAAATAAAATAAAAAGACCAAAATAACCCCAACCTTTATTATTTTGAATCTAATATAGAAAGTCGATCCGGTGTGGTGGTGTTTTGCACTTGTAAGAGCTATGGTTTTGGGGCTGAAGGTTTGGAGATAGTGGCGAGGTGAGGTTTTTGGTGAGTAACGAGTAGAGATCAATGACGCTAATGAGATTTTTGGAGCTATGGTTTTCCTAGGCTATGGGTTTATGATAATCGAAGAGTGGGCTCGATTGGTGTTATGCGAGTAAGGACATTGAGGAGGTTTTTAGGGCTATGGTTTTTGGGAGATGTGGATTTATGAAACTAGAAGAGTGGGCTCGATTGGTGGTTTTGGAGGTCGTGGATAGTGGCGAGTTGGATTATAGGGTTATCAATAATGGGAAATAGCTGGTGATTGACAACTCTACGGTAGGGAGTGGTAGCAACTCTTCTCATTGTCTATGCTTCTTCTTTAGAAAAAAAAAACCCAAAATCAAATAAATCCAATCAATCAAATAATGCTATTCTTTATGAAATATGCATCCTAAATAAACTTTGACTAATTGTTTTTTGAGTCCGATTAAATCCACCAATTAATGATATTAAGTATTATGAATATTTTAAAATAGATAAAAATGTTTTCATTCGACACTCTCCAAAATCCAAACCTCCATTCATATTTCCCAAATAGAAATCAAAGAAGCGAGAAAACATATATTAGTGTTTTAACGGATTATTACAATAAAATAGACAATGGAGGTGGGGGAAATTTATCTTTACCATTTATTTTTTAATTTTAAATATTAGATTATTGTTAATTTTTTAATTCAAATAAAATTGTTGTATTTTATGACCCACTAACCCACGTGTTATTTAGTGATTGATTGTCGTTAATAGTAATATATCACATTGAAAGAACAATTGATAAAATTATAATGGAAGCTTTGAATCAATAAAATTTTAAAAATAGAGGGTTTTAATCAAGTTAAAAAAAAAATAGAGGGTCTTAATCAAAAAAATTCAAACAGTACAAAGTCCAAAAGTAGAGGTAAACTAAAAAAAAAAAAAAAAAAACTAAATGATGCAAGAAAATATTGAAATTTATGAACCATTTAGTGTTGAAGAGATAGTATTTTAAAAGCTTTTTTTTTTTTTAACCAAATAATAGAATAATCTAAGACCACAAACACAAACCATCTCCATTATGACAATGTTAACAAAGTCATTATATACTTTTGAGGGTAATTTATTAAGAGTAAGAAATAATGAACTTACTTCGACATACTTTTAGAACCTAGAGACGAAAACATAATTTACTAAAAATTTTGCTTAGTTATACTTTTGTGGTATTATATTGAGTTTTGAGGGTATTATATCACTAGCATCTCACTTGCTTGAATTTTGTTATTTTCTCGTTATCAATGCAATTTGAGTTTTATTTCTTTTATTGTATTCATTTCAAGCACTCGAGTTATTTTGTTAAGAGATTGAAATTTTTTTAATATGAATAATGGTATCTTTTTTTATTTTAGTTTTGTCCATTGTATGATTACTTGTACTTTTCAAATTATTTTAATTAAGACTTTGTATTTTTATTTTTTATATTAATTGAGTCTTTTTATTTTATTTTATCTTCATCCCTCTCTTATATGTCCACTTGAATGCATGATACATGTTATATATAAAAGTACACATGACACATGTTATATATAAAAGTACGAAATTCAATCAACATAATTCAAAAAGTGGCTATAAGGGTCGAACCTCCTTTGAAATTTAATTTATTTAAAAATTGATCTCTAAACTTTGAATTTGTGTTATGTTTTTCCTAAACTTTATTTTTATTTTTATTTTTATTTTTTATATTCAGTCCATTTTATGATTTTTAGCTATCACCTTTCCGTTTTACCAAAATTTAATTCTTAATATTTTGATATGGATTTTGGTACATACGTTGAGAAAAATCTAAATAATTTTCAAGAAAAAATCTAGGATTTTCAAAGGCTGAAAATTATATTTGTTTATTTTTTGAACATTAAGAATATGGAAAATTAGAAAAAAATAAAAAATAATCTAGAATGGTTTCAAATTTTTTGGAAAGCTCCGGATAAATTTCATTAAATGATTTCCATCATGGAATTATTTATATAATCAATATTTTTTTGAAATAAATGACAAAAAGCTAAAGAATTGACTAAGTCTAAAAAAGTAAATAAATAAAGTTGAGTTATATTAATACATAGCTAAATAGGTCAAACCACTCTTGAATTTTAACTAATTTGAAATTGAGTCCTTAAATTTTAAATTTGAGTTTTGGGGTCTTTGAAATTTTTTTTAATATTTAGTCTATAATTTAGTTTTTTATCATTTATTCTAAAAAATAACAATCACATAAATAGCTTCATTATAGCATCATTTAGTTAGATCTATATGGGACTCAAAAAAATTATGATCATTCTAGGTTATTTATTTATTTATTTTTTTCAAATTTTTTCAATTTTTTACGTTTAATAAACAAATAAATATACTTTTAAATTTTAAAAAATTATGAGATCTTTTGAGAAAATAGATTGAATTTTTTCCAACCTCTCTGCAACATTTTAATTCAAAGTATCAAGAAATGAAATTTTTTAGAAGAGATAATGATAGTTGAATACTATTAGATAGATTAAATTTTAAAAAAAATAAACCAAAATTCAAAGATTTTAAAAACCCAATTTAAAGTTCACATACTCAATTTTAAATGATTTAAAATTCAAAAAAATAAAATAAAATTGACCCATTTAGCTTAACACGTGTCTTTCCTAGTTAGTTAAAAGCAGCCTTAGCTCAATTGCATAAATTCCCGTGATTCCTCTTTCCCTCTCTTCCTTTCTTCTGAAAGAAAATTCCTGCTAGCAAGGAGTACATCGCCATCACTTTCCAGCCCAGGCCAAGCAGCACCGTCACCATTGATTCTCCTCATAAAATCCTGATCAGTACTCTGCTACAACATCTCGTATTGTTACGTACGTATTTAGTTTCTCTCATTATTCTCTCTTAGTTAATTATATACTATATTCTTGGCTAATCTTGTCTTCCTTTCTTGAATTATATTATTTGTGTGATTTTCTTGTTCTTTCTCTAAAAATTGTTTTGTCTTCAGTTCTTGAAGTATCTTTCTTCTAACACTCATTGGTTTTGCTCTTCATCTCTTGAATTATTTTTACAAATGTTATTGCTAATTAAAGATTGTTCTAATATAATTTTCTTTTTCTAGTTAAGTTAGGATACCGATTGTATAATTTGGTTTCTTTTAAGTTATTTTGATTTTAAAGATTTTTCTGTGCTGCAATTTCATATTTTATCTTTTAAACCTTTTCAAGATCAATGGCAGAAGATACCAGACGACAACTTCTCAAGAAAGCCAGTAACGATATAATCAGTAGCTTGCCTAATGTGATTCTTGGTCATATACTTTCCTTTCTTCCTACAAAAGAGGCTGTGCGTACATGCATTTTGTCCAAAAGTTGGAGAAACCTTTGGAGATCTCTTCCCAATTTTGATTTTGGGGATTGCATTGACAAACGATTTGCAGAAAGGCAGATGGCCACCTTTCAGGGTTTCATGAATAGGTTCTTTCTTTTCCATAACCCTCGTGAAAACTCTATTACGAAATTTCGTCTCAGATTAACTGGAAACTATCGTCCTTCTAGTGTGACTGCATGGATTTCTGCAGCAATTATAGGCAATATTGAGGAGCTTATGCTTCGGCTATATGCTGATGATCATGTCTCGTTGCCTCAGAGCGTTTTTAATTGTGAGAAATTACTGGTTTTGAACCTTAGTTATCGAATTGCTATTGATCTTCCTGGGGTCGGTATACGCTTTCCATGTCTCAAGGTCCTTCATCTTAAAGATCTCCAGATGCTTGATGATCATGCTAGCATAGAGACGCTATTAGCAGGTTGCCCTGTCCTTGAAGAAGTGCAAATCGAACTTGAAGATTGCAAATCCAGGCACGCTTTACTTATACCTTCAAGGTCAATGAAACGTTTGATCATAAGATTCACACATATTGCTTATTACGAGAAGGATCCTGGTCGTAGAACACTTACTCTTGATACCCCAAACCTCGAGCTTCTTAAACTAACTGATCTCGTGTCTGAGGAGTTAAAAATGTTGCAGCTTCCTTGTTCACTAGTAGAGGCAGCTATTAGTGTTGCTTATACACACGTCTTCACCTTAACAAGATATGGTTATGCAGATATGGCAGTTCAGTTTTTGAGACCGATCATGCCTATTGTCAAGATTTTATGCTTGTGTGAAACTACCATGAGAGTAAATTTCCTCCTCATTTAATGTTGTGCTTAAACTTAATTTGAATGGTCTGATCACTTCCTCATATGTACATCCCCATTGCAGACGTTATCAGACGCAGTTCGTAAGAAGTTGCCTTTTTTCGACAATCTCATCCCTACTTTTCAGAATCTAACTCGTTTGGAGATTGAAGCTAGTGGAAATAGTCTGTGGTTGGTTTTGCAAGAGATACTCAAATGCTCTCCTAAGCTGGAAGTCTTCATCTTAAACAAGAAGGACAAGGTTAGTTCCTATTAGATAAATACTATATATTAACATTAATCATTCTAATTTCTTAGCTTCCTACAGGTAGGTTCGATACTATGCTTTCTTACTAACTTTAATCATTTAGGATGAGGAAACTCCGAAATGGCGAAACCCCGAATCAGTGCCCTGGTGCTTGTGGTCATGCCTTAAGGTGGTTGAGTGCATAGAATTTGAAGGGGAGTTAGGAGAGATAGAAATGGTGGAATATTTCTTAAAGAATGCATTGGTCTTGGAGAAGATGGCTATCAGTTTTGGGAGTTGCATGATTCATAATCTAAGAGGACTTGTTGTCAAGAGGTTGGAAATGTGTCAAAAGGGCTCCGAAGCATGTCGAATTTCATTTTCACCTTGAATTTTTTTGTTCCTGATGGCCGTTTCTGTTCGAGATTGTTCGGCAAGGTCGAGAGAATATAAACCTTTGATATTCACATATGGTTCCTTGATGAATTCTTTTTCTGGGCTCCATATGTGCTTGTCAAATTGATTTTTGCCTTGAATTTTCCGTTCCCAGCAGCCGTTTCTGTTACAGATGTGCTCTGTAAGGTAAGGAGAATGCAAACTTATTATGGTATTGACATATTAATTGTTAAAGAAAGAATTCTTTTTCTGGTTTTGATATTGCTTTCTGTGAAATATCTAAAACCGGATATGCAATCGATTATTCCTCCTGATGTGGGCTTCTTGGTTTTTGATACCTGATGCAATTTCTTGATTTCATGATGAATTCTAATCATTTATCTAGTTTGCTGATTTTGGTGAGGCCTTTCTTCAAGCTTATCGTACTTAATTAAATATTGCCTAGCTACATAATCCTAGCAGAATTACTGGGTAGATTAAATGTTCATACTATAAGGAAATTAAATATGCCTAAGCATATAAGCACAACAGAAATTAATAAGATATATAGTTTCTATCATGATTGATTAAGCACAACAGAAATTAATAAGATATATAGTTTCTATCATGATTGATTAAGTATTCAAAGAATTACTAAAGAAAATCTAAGCCTTCAAGAAAAGAGAGCCTTCTAGTCCATACCAATACTCTAACGTTTTATGTGTTGATGGAAAACACAAGTTTTATTTAATATTTATATATCTAGACCAGAGACCTTTTCTTTTAACCTAATTTTACACCTGCATCCATCATAAATGTGTTTAGCCTACTACTAGAGTCCAATGGGCTCTAAGCCTTTAAATTGCCACTTACATATTTAAAACAAAATAGACATATGGGTCACATTATAAAAATATTTCTTACATTCTTCTACTTGGCTTATATGACCACTACCTAAAAAGGATAATTTATTTATAAAGTTGAGAAAACTAGTTAGTGGAAACACTTACAATTAGATTAAGAATACAATTTATGAACCATAACGGTCATACTTTATAACCAAGCACTTTCTTCTATGTATTAAAATATATTGCATCCTTAAAACAAGTATTTAATGAGCAAATAAACTTTATGAATGAACTTCCAATAAGTCGTTTAAGTCTAACTTTATATATCCAAATAGATATAAAAATAATACTTTATGTGCACAAAAATCAAATCAATCTCTAAAAATAACTTCAAAAAAATCTAGACAATCAATGAAAAGAAAACTAGGTCAAACAATAAATAAGTTAGCTAGACCTATACAATCCACATGATCTCTATATTGGTTTATCGATAGTGATTTAGTCATAGGATTTGCAATAATTAGCTCAAAGCTAATATGCTTAATGAGCATTTCATCTTCCTTCACTTTCTCTCTCATAATGAGATATATTATGTTGATGTCCTTATTTTTGGCTTTCACTTTTATTATTCTTAGAAAAGAAAACTATAGTCAAATTGTCACAATAAATCTTTACTCGTTCTTGACATAAATCGATAATTTTTAGACAAAAAATGAAGTTTCTTAACTAAATAACATGTGTTGTTGCTTCATAGCATGTAATCGGTTCTACTCCCATAGTAGACTAAGCAACAATAGTTTGCTTAGTGCTTCTCCAAGACATAGCTCTCCAGTACGAAGAAAAATGTAATCCGAATAGGCTTTTTTAAGTTTACACAATCGGTAAAATCTAAATTTGAATAGCCTACCACCTCAAGATGATTAGTATGTGTATAAGTCGGCGTGTGCTCCTTGGTTTTTTGTAAATAACTTATGGCTTTCTTAGTCTGCTTTCCAATGTTCCATTCTAGAATTACTTTGGAACTTTCCTAGCATTCCTACTACAAATGCCAAGTCGAGTCTTGTTGGAACTCGTACATGCAGAAATCGCCTACCGTAGATGAGTAATGCATGAGGAATGTTACTCATCCGATCTTTTTCAATGTATTTTGTGGACATTGATTCTAGTTGAATTTGTCCTCTTTGATGAGGAGTGCTACTAGTAATGCATAATTTAGTATTCTAAATCTTTCTAAAACCTTTTCAACGTAGGCCCTTTGAGATAGTTTTAATATTCTTTGAGACCTATCTCTATGATTCTCTATGCAAATGACATAAGAGGCTTTACCTAAATCCTTCATATCAAAGTTTTGAGAAAGAAATTACTTAATCTCATGAAGCAAATCCAAGTCATTACTAGAAAGAAAAATATCACCTACATATAGGAGAAGTAAACTAACTTTAAGGTATATATATATTGATTAATAATGTTCTCTATAAAATCATATGAGATAATAACTTTATGAAACTTAATATACCATTGTCGAGAGGTTTCTTTTATCCCATAAATACATCTCTTTAGCTTACAAACCAAATGGTTATTTGTGTTATCATAAAAACCTTTAGGTTAATTCATGTATACCTCTTCATCTAAATTTTCATTTAAAAATGTTGTTTTCATATCCCCGTGATGTAGTTCTAAATCAAAGTGAGCTATTGATGCCATTATTATTCTAAATCAATCCTTTTTAAAGACTAGAGAAAAGATTTCATTGTAGTCTATGTCTTCTTTTTGGGTATAACCCTTAGCCACAAGTTTAGATTTATATCATTTGATATTTCCAAAATAATCTCTTTTGGTTTTAATTATAAAGCATTTGTAGCCAACAGCTATAAATCCTTTTGGTAATTCAACGAGGTCTCAAACTTGATTTTTATTTATAGATTCCATTTCTTCCTTCTTGGCATCATACCATAAAATAGAGTTTTCTCTATTCATGGCTTGTGAAAATGAGTTTGGATCATTCTTAAGTCCAACATCAAAGCCAAAGTTAGGAAGGTTTACAACATAATAATTAGAAATTACTAGTCTCCTTACTCTTAAAAATCTCCTCAATTCAACATCTTCATATGAGTTTATCACATTAAGAGCTAGTTGCTTTTGAACTTGCTTGTTTAGGAATTGGTTGTTTTTTTTTTTTTTAAATATTATCTAATTGATTGTCTTACACAATGACCAATTGCTTTGTATCTTTATACAATACATTTGAATCTTGTGTTTCCTAAGATTCTATCCTTTAAGGAAAATCACTTCCACTAAGGTTAAGATCCTCAAGCAATTTAACATTTCTTGCCTCTATTATTCTTATACTATGAGAAGCATAATCAAATCTATATCCTTTAAAGTTTATTGCATAACCAATGAAATATCTATTAGTTGTTCTAAGGTCTAATTCTTTATTGAGAATTACAAATCCTTATCTCAATAAGACAACCCTATACATATGTATAATTTAAACTAGGTTTCCATCCATTCCATAACTCAAAAGGTTTCACATAGACAACCTTAGATTGAGGCTTATTTAAAAGATATACAACAGTCTTTAATGCTTCACCGCATAAGGATAATGATAGATTATAATTACTAATCATGCTCCTCACTATAGCCATGAGAGTACGATTCCTTCTTTTAGCTATGCCATTTTTATTGTGGTATACCAAGCATTATATACTATGCAATAATGCCTTCTCCTTCAAGGAACTTTGCAAATGGACATGGAATTTATCCTTTTTTATGTGTCTACCATAATTGTCTTCACATCTATTTGACCTTACAATCTTAATCATTTTTTTCCTTTTGTTTCTCTACCTAAATCTTAAAGGTCTTAAAAACATCAAGTATTTTATCCTTATCATTTAAAAGAGAGAGATATGTTAGCACCAAAATTTTTTCCCAAAAGATCCAAAAAATAAAAAAAGAGAAAAGGTACCAAAAAAATAAATAATAAAATTGGGGTATATAATTAAAAAAGGAGAGATAAATGGACCAAAATAAGTCGAGCATATGAGATAAGGGACCAAACTAAACTTTTTCCTAAAGAACCTTAAAAACTTGGTATAAATACTCCTATTTTTTTCCTCCCATTCAGCTAACTTCTCTCTCTAAAATCGATATCCACTCTCTCTCTAAAAGAGAGAATAGGATTTTGACCAGCTCTCTTTCTTCCAAAATTTCGATCAAACCCGGTGTTCCTTACCAAGCTTAGCTGCAGAGGCCCATTTTACGCCAGCCTGACCTAGACCAAAAGTCCAACCGGGGCCAAAATCTTTTCGGCTAGCCTCTAGCCGGTCGAGCTTGATCCAAGCAATCCAACCTTCCATCCAATTGTTTGGTTTTTCGTCCAGCGAGCCTACGCCATCCACCTCCAACCAACTAGCGGCTCCTTCCGCCCGATCCAACCATAAATCACGATGAAGCGACGACTCGACATTTGACTAGCAACCTCCAATCGGATCTCTATTGGTTTAGCTACCTCGACCGATCGGATCAAACTAGCCACCTTTTTTGTAGCGGATCCGAATTGGCCAACAAGATCCGATCGATCTAGCCTCTTCGATAGCCATCCGATTCGAATCTAACAATGGGCGACTACCTCTCCTCCTCGGTTGATTGAATATCGGTCTCCATCGAAATTGAAAATGTCAAAGCCGACCCCAAATTCAACGACCAAATTCGTTCTACATTTTTATAGTAATTTATTTTTATCTATTTTAATTTTATTTTTATATGTATTAAATTTAATTCGCATTGATGTGTGCTTGAAATTAATTATGTTGTTGTGCTATGTAATCAATATAAATTATTGTGTATGTATGATTTATTTAAATGGTTATGGTGTGTGTGATTTAATTGCATCATTGTTACGTTTACGTTGGTTTATCGATTGTTTACGCTTGGATGTGTTTAAATATTTATTGTTGTTTGGTACACTTTTTTTTAAAGACATGTTGGTATGATTCTCGATTTTGGGCCACTTTTGATCAATTTTGACAATTAATCTAATTACGTCAATTTATATTAGGGTATTTGATTTTTTGCTTTGCATCGGTTTGAATCATGTTTTTAGACTATTTTACTCGATAATAATGTTAGATTGCTCGCGTGTCAATTTTATCAAAAAAGGGGAAAA